CGCCGCCGACTCCAGAGCGACCAATCGGAGCCCTCCATTTTCAGTCAGCCAGAGAGCGCCTGCGCAGTGCCGAGTGAGGCTGGCGTGGCGTGGGGCTCCCTTTGATCTCTGCCCCCCCCTCCCCGCATTCAGGCAGACGGCGATTGGGGGGACCCTTCCGGGGCTCTGACTTTCCCCCCATCCGGGGTCCCCTCCTTAGGCAAGGGGACTCCTGTTCCCCCCCTTTCCCGCTTCCTCCCCCCCAAAGACCCCTTTGCAAATCTGCAGGGGGAGGGGAAAATCCCCTCCAGGACCCCCCCTTCATATGTGGACTCTCAGCCTCTTCTGGCCTCCAGGAAGGCCCCTTGAAGCCCCTTCCTCAGCTCCCCCCTACGTGCCCCCTCCCTCCCCAGGAAGAGGGGCCCGGGGCTGGAGGTCCCCCATCGCCTTGTGGGGCTTTTCCTGGCTAATGCATCGCCCCAAAGGCTGGAGGGGCTCCTGGTCCTGCTGCTCTCTTGTACTGCAGCTCCTCCTCGGCTGGGAGGCGATCCTGATGGAGCCCCTCCATAAGTCTTTAACCTTAGATGTCCCCCCTCTCGCCAAAAGCTACTTTTCAGATTTGAGCTTTCTTTCCTTCTTGACTAAGACTTTTTATTTTGTATGTGTGAACTTGTTTTTTCAGGAACTGCACAACAGAGTATTCTGACTGTCTTTGAATACATCTGCAACTTTCAAGAAACACACCAACCCAGCTGGAAAGACTAATGCGGCCCATACATTTGTCCCTTGTGGAATATTTTTAGAATTTCTGTTGTTTAAACTTCTCAAGCAATCAGTGTGTTTTATCCTTTCATCATTTCTTTACTGACCCTGAATGTATGTACCATTTGACACCCCATCCTTAATAAATGCTTTTGTTTTGCCTTTTCTGGATTATTTGATGGTCTGTGTTTTCAGATGGACAAAAAAGCCCCTTTGCTTCCCTCAAAGTCTCTCAAATTCAGGTGATCAAGTTCTATACTAAACTTGGTGCCTGAGTTTGGAGATTAAGACTTGATTTAAAATGATCAATAATTAAAAAGTAACAGGAAAAAGGGCTGGGTGTTCTCATTTTCTTCCTGCTTCCCTCTAATTAGTGGCCAAATGGACTTTTCTGCTCTTGCAATACAACTCTGATAAATTGGCTATAAATA